GGGAGAAGCAGACTCCCCACCGAGCAGGGATGCGGGACTCCATCCCAGGACCCTGGGATCATGACCTGAGCCGAAGGCAGACGCTTCACTGACTGAGCCACCCAGGTGCCCCTCAAAGTCTATTTCTGGAACCCCCTTTCCAGGAATGACACTACGCTAAACACTGTGGAGGTTTAGACAAATGAATATCCCAGGGCCTCGGCCATCCCAACACAGACAGGAAAATTTAAAAACAGGACAATCTGAACTGAAATGGGCTACAGAAAAAGGATTGGGGAGTCCCTAAGTAAGACTCACTGCAGTGGGCAAAACTATCCAAAGGACCTGGATATGACGATAACCCAGATAAGAAAAATCCATGTCTTAAACAGCATGCTCCCGGTGGGACGGAAGAGAAAGGCAGTTTTTTTTTCAGCCTGAGTGTTGGTCATGGCCAAAGCCCATTCACTCTTGTTGATTTCACGGTGGTCAGATCTCTGAGCCTGCACTGCTCCTCTCCCTTCAGGACCGTCAGCTTTGTCAGAGGTGGAAAGTCTCCTCCTCTAGGGCCTCCTTCAATTAAGGAGCATCTCCGTCCACTCCAGCCCCTGCTTCCTTGTGACCAGATGAAAGGCAGCCCAGGAGAACCCCGTGACTCACACACTCTCGGGACTGTTCGGGGCTGTTCGGAGGAGCAGCTTTGAAGGACAGATTCCCCAAGCAGGAACTCCCATTGGGCAGCTCAGGAAGCCTCTGGGCAGCACCGTCCCGTGAGCTATTTTTAGTGTGCCTTTTAGATTTAGAAACAGGCAGCATTCTGTAAAAACTCATTTTTTCTGCTTCCCTCAGGCAGAAAATTTCAATCCCAAACCTTCATGCTAAATGACACAGTGTTTGAGAACGTAGCTTACTTTCTTCCCTCATTGTTACCTGGCCGTTCATACCTCTAAGTATGCTAACTGCTCCAAATTTGACAGTCCCAACTCAAGCAGCAGACACATGACAATTAATGGGGGTTCCTAACTGCGTTAAGGCCATGATGTCATTCTGGGGGGGCGGGTTATTATAATATCTGTGCAGCAATTGAGCGACACAAACCTCAATGCCCACTCTCAAAAGTTGTACCCTAAGCTTGAACATGAACGTCCTCCAAGCAGTCCTCAAATCCTGGGCTTGTTTGAAAATATTTATTTTTTTATTTTATTTTATTTATTTATGATTACCTATTATATATTTGAGAGAGAGAGACAAAACACAGAGGGAGAGGTAGAAGCAGACTCCCTACCGAGCAGAGAGCCCAGGGTGGGGCTTGATCCCAGGAACCCGAGATCATGACCCCAGCTGAAGGCGGACACTTAACTGACTGAGTCACCCAGGTGCCCTAATATTTATTTATTTTAAAAGAATTCTTTGGGAATATGAGAAATCTGGTTAAAAAAATTCTACCTTAATATCTTGTTCACTTGGTACCATTTAAAGACTCTAAAAAAATTGAATAGGTTAGACCATTTTCTCCCTAAAGTTATTTTGTCAAATGCAGTATGTCAAGAAGCACTTCAAAGGTGGAGGTGGGGAAAAGGTTTGATGTCAATAAAATAGAAACATCAGTGTCTCATTTGCTTATTCTTCTTTGTGGCACGGACTCTGAAGAGTCAGAGAGCTAACAAAGGTCCGTAATTGGCTGCTCTCAGAAGTACTGGAGAAACACCCACAGATCTAGGTCATGGGATTGGCTCCATGCTGAGCTGAGAATGTGACATAACCTTATCCCTCCCATTTTTTATTTGGAAAATTGTCAAACCTACAGAAAAGTTGAATGAGTGGTATGCCATTCCACTGCATCATGCGGCTTTCACCTAGATTCACTGGCTGTTAATATTTTATCATACGCCCTTTCCCTTTCTGTCTTCCCCTCATACACCTTATGTATGTGGAAGTATGTATGCACACATGTGTCTATACATGCATAACGAAGCATTTGGAAAGTCAATTGTAAGCGTCATGACACGCCCCCCAAATGTTTCAGTATGCATCTTCTGAGAACAAAACCATCGTCCTTCATAATCCCAATGCTATTATCACACCCAAGCATAATCACATTGACATGTTAAAGGAAAATTTTCAAAAAGGTAAAATTATGACTCTCATCCAGATATAAAATGACCATGTGTTAAAGATTTTATTTAACTCATGATTAATGAGGGTACTGCAAGAGGTCACAACCAGTTCAAAAGAGAATCCGAAGAACCACCACGTTTATAGGTGAGGAATGTTGAAAGGAATGAGGAAGAGGGGGCAGAGCTGGCTTGTTTGTGTCCATAAGCAAAGATTATTTTGTATTGCTATCTATTATCTACAACTTATTGAGTTGTAAAATAGCTCAAAAGCAATGAAAGGGGCAGAGTCCCTACAGCATCGGAATTAGATAGCCCTGAGGGATGTGCTCTAGACCAGGCATTGGTAAGCGTGTTCTATAAAGGGCCAGATAATAAATATTTCTGGTTTTTGCAAGCCACATACGGTATTTGAACATGAAAGTAACCACAGACAATCTGTGAAGGAATGAGCATAGCTTTGTGCCAATAAAACTTTATTTATAAACACAGGTGGCAGTCCCTATCTGGCCCCCTGGCTATAGTTTGCTGGCCCTGCTCTAAAGAATGCATAACTTTCCATCGATGCACACATTTTCTCCAACAGATATAAAACGAAGATGCTATCATGAGTTGAATTGTGTCCCCCTTCAAAATTCATATACTGAAGTCCTAACCCCAGCACCTCAGAATGTGACTGTATTTGGAGATAGGATCTTTAAAGAAGTAATTAAGTTAAAATGAGATCGCGAAGCTGGACTATAATTCAATAGGACTGGTGTCCTTATAAGAAGAGGAGATAGGACACAGACACACACAGAAGGAAGACCATGTGAAGACACACAGAGGAGATGGCCACCTACAAGCCAAGGAGAGAGCCTCAGAAGAAACCAGCCCTGCCCACACCTTGATCTCTGACTTCCAGCTTCCAGGACTGTGAGAAAATAAATTTCTGTGGTGTAAGACCACCCCCCCCAACCCGTGTGTGGTACTTTTGTTATGGCAGCCGGAGGAGACTCACACAGTTTTTCACTTATGAAAAGATGGCGGTCTAATCAAGTGAGAAGGTTAGACCATTTTCTCCCTAAAGTTATTTTGTCAAATGCAGTATGTCAAGAAGCACTTCAAAGGTGGAGGTGGGGAAAAGGTTTTGATGTCAAGTAAGTTTGGCAAACTGTAGCTCCTTCTTAAAAATCTGCTATGATCTCAGAATGTTGAAGCTCTTGAGACGTCCCACAATAATATCTGTTTTAACTTGGTATAAGCCAGAGTTTCCCAAGGTGGATGGCTTCTTTTAAAGGTACGATTCTTTTTTTTTTTTTTTTAAGTTTATTTATTTTTTTAAGTAACCTCTACACCCAACAGGGGGCTTGAACGCAACCAGGAGATCAGGAGTCGCATGCTCTTCTGACTGAACCAGCCAGGCGCTCCAAAGTTACAATTCTTAATAATAAATCCAGTATTCTTGGAATATGCTTTGGAAACGCTAGGGTGAGCAAAAACTGAGACAGGTCTTCTGAGAATGTAAAGATGCTTGTGGACCGAGCCTGCAGAAATGCAGGATCCAGAGGCTGGAGGGAGGACGTAAGTGGGTTCCAGGCAGGGGCAAGAGGGGGCCTCCTGTACCCAGACCTGGGTGATCATGACATAGGAAGGAGAACAGGAAGGGCCAGACCGCTCAGAGATGATCGCTCAAGGTGCTGTGTCTGTGGAAGGCTGGTCCTAAAGGAAGGATAGTTATCTCTGTTTTCCAGGAGAACCCGGGGGCTCAGTATCCTGTTGTGGAATAAAGAATGGAATTCAGAACACCCGGCCCTTGGTGTCTTCCTTTGGGGGCCCGGTGATCGCCTCCCAACAGAACTTCAAAGCCTACTTAGCGCTCCTTGTGTGAATGAGGCCTCAATGGGGTGAAAGCCCAGACGGTGCTTGCCATGTCAGCTCCGAGCCACCAGATGGCGCGCGGAATCCACAGTGCACGTGCATGGGGCTCTTGTTTGTCCCAGCCCTGGCCCAAGGCCCATAGGAAATGTGTTACTGTGTCTCCTTTTACCGAGTGTCCTGCAAGGTTTTTTACTCTTTAGAAAGCTCATCCATAGAGGAGCATGTGAAACACCATCCTGCACAGCTGTGCTCTTCCCGTCCTTTCGCTCCGGGGGACATGTCAGCAGCATTTCCCCTGGTCTGAAGAGTCTCGCGTATTTGTTCTTGCTGGAACTAGCAGTAGGGAGTACTTAGCTTCCATTTTGAAATCCGCAATCCTGATGAAATGTAATCGCTGGGAAAAAATATCTCAAGGACTGTTTATTAGGGCAACCGCAGTTCTGGCATGAAAAACAGACTGCAAACACTTTGTTACTCTGGTATTCGGACTGCTAACACAGCGGGGTGTAAGGTTTTTACGTAATCCCAAACCTCAGCCTTGAAGAGTTAATGATGTTACTCATGCCACTGGGGCATGAAAGAAAAGCTTGCATTTTTGGGTGGTTATTGCTTGCCCAGAGCGGTGGAATGAGCCATACGGCTGAAGGCCCAGGGACTCGGGCCACCCATGCAGTGAAATAATCCCCAAGAAATGCACTGCTTGGAATGGAAATGAAAGGAAAGTGAACAGTCATTCCAGGGCATCTACTAAATATTACCGACAGTCATTCAGTCTAAAGTTTGCCTGATTCTTAACACTGCAAATCTCAGATTTGGGATATATTACATAGATCACAGGAAACGATTGAAATCAAGCAGTTGGAGCCCTGTTCCTGTCAAGCTCCGGTCGTAAGCAGTGAGCTCTGTTCTTATTTCAGTTCCAATAGGAATGAATAATTAATAACCTAGTTTTTGAATGGAAAGTACATTTCAATGGATGGGTGATGCTTTCAGCAGAGCCAGTGAGGGTTATTGTTTATTTCCTTCTTTCCTTCTTTCTGAAGTGGGACCCTGGATGAGAAGAAAGAAGCAATATTCAAATGTATGATGGCCTACATTTTTGACCCATCGGAGACTCACGTGAAAAAAGAAAAGCAGAATTTCGCGTTGGCATCAGCATCTACTATATAGTAGGCACTCTGTTCCATGTCTCGTAAGTATTTTCTTCATCTTTGTGGCAACAGTTTGGTAGTTGGCATTGGCCCAGTTTTTCAGATAAGGAAATCAGGCTCAGAGAGGTTAAATAGTTTGCCTGAAGTCACACAGCTAGTAGATTCGAGAGCTAAGAGCTGGGACCAGGTATGCCTGCCTTCAAAGCCTGGGTTTGCTCTCTTTCTGCCAGGGCATTTCATAAACTCGCAGAAGCGCCACATTGGGAATGATCTGGGGGGTCATTTAGGTGAACCCTCGAAATAACGGAGGCATGATTCTGGTCGTCTCCATTAAGTCGAAAGCCAAACAAGTATAAATGTGCCTGAAATCCAAGCCGAAGCCTAAAAGAAAGAAGAGCAACACTTCAGAATGCAGACAGAGGGCAACATATAAATGGTGATGCGGGTGGGATGGCCATAGCATCCTGAAGTGTGTGTGCTGTAAATAAGACTCAGAGGGATGCTCCTACCTCAAAGTCCTCCGCCCTGTAGCCCCCACAGGGCCCAGAAGGAAAAGTCAAGGTCAAAAGCACCCTCTCACTACTAGAGAAAGTTACCTAAGGGGAGTGAGGGTGGGTGACGGGCTTCAGGCCACACACGTTGGTGGCAGAGCCCGAAATAGAACTTGAGGCCGTGCGTCTCAGTTGAGTCTCAGTGCTGCTTGTCCTAGCTACCTCACACGTCTCTTGCCATGACTAGCTCTGTGTAAATTTGGGGAGGAAACCCAAAACCAGGTTTCAGTTTTCATTACATACCGGAAACTTGGCCTCAGATCACTAAGAAGTTGACTGTGGTTTGTGAACCTTTTAAGCAGAGGGAGCCATGTTCCTGCCCCTCGCAGAGGCCAGCAAGGATTTATGGGTGTAAGCGGGAAGGTGGGCACTGTGGTGCCCGTCTAACCATGTTCCAGGTACACGCTGGCCCGGCGGGCCACAGGCCACCTGGGAGCCTCTGCAAATCACGGCTGCCTTGGAGTTTTTCTGAGCTCCCATCAATTGGGGAATGGCTTCCAGGAGAGAGAGAAAAGGAGGGGATGATTTAGGAGGTGTGCATATTCATTTGCAAATGAAGTTATGGAAGTTGCTAGTGAGATTTATGTTGGTAATTAAGTGATAATGGCTGTGTGAGGCTGCTGGAGTTGGATTTCCTATAAAATAATGAAGGGACCCAGGCCCTTTGGAGAAATGTCTTATTGTTTAGCATTTTCGGAAACAATTTCGGTTTCTATGGTACTTTAGACCCACTGACTAGTAACTCCTCAAAGCATGCTTGGAGCGCAGACCACGGGCTGGCCCCCTTGCGCATCCCCCAAAGATTGTTGGTCTCTATGCAGGGCAAGGGGTAGGCAGCCCCACTCCGGCCCCAGGCTAGCAGAGGAAGGACAAGATGACATCCTTCCAGTGGGCATGGCCAAGTAGATAATGCTTTGTTGTGTTTTGTTTTAAATCATCCAGACCCTCTGAACAACCAGCCTGAAGCGATCTGGTTTAATTAAGGGTACCAAGGAAACTATGAAGAAACCAGGTACAAACATCACGCAAGGATCTTGCAAGAATTCGAGTCTAAACTACTATGTCAAAGAGTAATGGCTGTCTTCGCATGCAGGCTGCCCATGGGGGCTGTGATATCCACGAGTGTGGGGTAGAAAAACGTACATATATGACCAAGAGTCTGGGTCAGATCCAGACTGGATAATCAGTCCTCGATTAATTAATAGCTGCCTCCTCTCTCTCTATATTATTTTATATTTCGAAAAACAGAAAGACTCACTTATCTACATAGGTGTGCTAGAATGAGGTACATCTCTTAGAGAGGAATGGGCTGTGGTTTTCTGATTTCATATTTTCTCCTTTCCTTTAATGGTGGAAGTCGAAATAAATATTCAGACCTAGGACTCAGCGTGTAGAAAACACTTTAGGAAATAATTTACTGTTTTGAACATTCAAGGTGCAGCCTGCTTCATGGGAAGTGCTGAAAAGCTCAGCTTCTTTTCATGTTTTTCCTCTTTCGGGGTTTTAAAATACTCTTTCAATTCTTTAGGTTATAGGAGAGAGGGCTCGAGGGCTTGAATGTCTGTAAGCTGAGAGACAGGTTTTTAAAATTATGGTGCACCTTGATTCAGTGAAAGAAGTAAGTGCTGACTTTTCCCTTTTGCGTCTTTGGGATTGGTATCTGCAGCCAACATCTATAAATAAATCTCGTCGTAGGAGATTCAGCGAGGCACAAAAGCACGGCAGTGGTCCATATCAGACGCTCGCTCGATATCTATCTAGTTGGAATAGAAAAGAAAGTGCCAAACAAGAAGCACCATCAGGAGTTCAGAGGGGGCCTCTTTTGGAGGCTGCAGCAAGATGAGGGAAGTTCAAAGAGAAGAGGAGGTGGTCTTGCTGGGTCCTGAAGCAAACCTGTGACGAAGGTCACAGGAGCGAGAAGAAAGGGGGATCCAGGAATCAAAGCTCAGCTGGGCCTGCCGATGCCCGTCAATACTGAGAGGTCGCTGTGAGAGGCAAATCAGAGGGGTGAATGCCAAATAAGGAATTCCAAACGTGCTCATTTACTCAAGAGGAGACTTTATTGTCCTCAGAATCCGGGAAGAAAAGAAACTAAATTAATAAAAGTTTCATCAAATGTCTAAAAGTGTCACATGCTAACGCAGCATCACGACTGAACTCAGCCCTGATGTAGTGATCGATTACTGTAGAGGGTGGGGGGGGCGGTATCTGAACGTGCTTGACCTAACGGGGGAGGGGGCACCTCCAAAAGTAAGAGCGCCTGGGATCCAGCCCTGGGCTACGCGGGAGGAGAACGGGAGGAATGATGACACTGGGTGTCAGAAGTGGAAAGGGAGAGAAAACTGGGGAACTGGGGAGACATTTTGTGGGAAGCACCTAATTGCTGGAGATCTGTGCGTCATCCAGAATGTTACAACACATACCTCCTCTTTCGGGGGGGGGTCCCTAGATTCTGCCCCCTACAAATATCATTGGTCTCCTAAGCCCAAAGGGTGTAACATCTATGTTCCCAGGGCATTTCCTGGTTGTCAATCTGTTGTCTTGAGACTAAAGTGACATTGGAGATCCTGAAGGTGGTAGACATTTAACCAAGGCCTGTTAATTAGAATCTGAAGTGTGTGTGTGTGTATATAGTATGTATGTACATAAATACACACACATAAATACATATATTCTTAGAGCCTACACACACACACACACACACACACACACACACACACACACACATATACAGGACACATGATACGTGAAGTTACTCCGAGACACATGCTTTTAGGGGCTATGGTATATACAATATTATACATATATTATATTATATATACATATAAGAGCAAGATCTTTATTAGCGCAGAATAGTATCTGAACTATATTTCGAAAATGACTGTTTGCTCAGGGTTTCCAGACATGAATTAAATTATTGTATTATGGTTAGTATAATTTGTCACATTCTTCTTCTCTTGCTTGGCTAATTCTGGTTCTTCCTCAAAGATGTTGGTTTTAAAGATTTACTACCAATCTCCAAAACTAAGGAGCAGGCCAAAATCTTGGTTCTTAAAAGACTGTAAAGCACAGTGATCTTTCAGAATTACCCAGAGACACATCACAGAAGACAGGAAGAAAAGAGGTCAAGTGGGCATCTGAATGCACAGACGCATTTGTAACAGGGAGCTCCTTCTCGAAAGCTGACTGCGTGGCAGACACGTCCCCATGTACCTCGCACATGCGAGTCCCTTAATTTGGAATAAATGAACGGCCGCTGTGATCTCATTGCCGGCTCCTCTTTTTCCCTTACCCCTGGCCCCCACTCAGCTTTTCACTTCATCATTGAGGATTTAAATATCTGCTTTTGGCTCACCCCTCCCCAGTTTACATTATTTTCTGTGTCTTTTTTCCTGTGGCTGCAAGACAGCTTTACCTGTAACATGAAAGAGGGGAGAGGGAGTTCCCAGCACCAGCTCCCTGTGGACCGATGGCCTGGAGGCCTGGGTCAATCCCCAAATCCCTTGGCCTCGGCTCCCTCACCAGCCAGATCTCATTCTCTGGAGGAGGGCTACAGGTTGAATTGTGTCCCTGAAGGAGATGCGTTGAAGGTGACTTGAGGTGGAAATAGGGTCTTTGCAGATGGAATCAAGTTAAGACGAGCTCCTGCTGGACTAGGGTGGGCCCTGAATCCAGTAGGACTGGTGTCCTTTGAAGGGACAAAGAAACATCCGCCAAGAAGTATGGCCGCCAGGAGGCAAGGGTTGCTCGCATCACCAGAAGCCAGACGAGAGTTCAGGGTCCTGGCGACACCTTGATTTCAGACTTCTAGCTTCCAGAACCACAGGATGGTAAGTTTCCTTTGTCAAAGCCACCGAGTCTGTGGTACTTTGTTAGCGCAACCCTAGCCAACTAACACAGCGTCGACGCTGCGGGGAGAGGGGTTGAGGACCCCGGGCTTTGAAATCAGACAGATCTGAGTCCAGGTTTCATGACTTCCTGGCTGATGATTTGGGGCAAAATTTCTCACTGAGCCTCATTCTTTCCTGAGGCCTAAGTGGCTTATGAAGGGGAGCCATGGGCCCGCTCCCCCGGAATCTGTGCACACCGGCTTCTCCCTCATCGCCTCTTTCCCTCCTCTCTCTCCGGACCTTCTACTTTCCCAGTCTTCCAAACGTTGCCTCTTACAGCTTCAGCCACCGGGAGGAGACTCGCTGGAACCACTCTGGGTTTCCAAATCCAAAAGTCCAACCTCGGGGTCTGGTGCCCCTGCCCCTCACCCCAGTCAGCAGTGCTTGGAGAACGGGGCCATACCTTCCTAAACTTGTCGAGAAAAACCTGACAAGGTGTGGTGTGTGGTGAAGTCACAGGACGCACGACACGTAAAGTTACTCTGAGACCTGTGATGAATGTAAAGTAGCGCTGTTTTTCGTTTTGATTCGTCACGTGCTGGTGAGGACTTCCCATCCTCCCGGCTCTTACACCCTCAGCTCTCACCGCGTCCTCCCCACGCCCTCCCCCCCACCGCCCCACTCTCCACCCAGATCCACCCCAGGTTTCACGGGCCTTATTCAGGACCCTCTTCCTGCCAGAAGCGCCTCCAGCTAACCTCGTCCCCATCTGTCTCTTCCTTTTTAAACTCCTACTGCCTTTATGGTTCTTGTCACATAGCTTAGCCCGTAAGTGTCTTCTCATTGGTCCCCGGCCTAGATTCGAAGCCACCTGAGGGTAAACAGAACGAGAGCCCTTGCAAACCTTGCAAACCACAAGGTTTGGACGGAGTTGTGGCTCTTCTAGGTCCCAGAGCGGTCTCCCCACAAATACCTGGCCAAGTAACGGATTCACCTCTGTGCATCCCGTTTCAACTCCAGGCTCTTGGAGTTTCTGTCTCCCCAAGGTACCAGATCCAGGGAAGCTACTAGCTCCTATCTAACCCGGCTGTGGGACTGCCCATGGCCTGTTTCCTACTTTCTTCCCCGGGCTTGGCCTCACTCACGAAGCCTGGGCAGGTGGGATGGGGCCCCCTGGGCTACAACTGGCGTGCGGTCAAACTGGGGGATGTGAGAGAAAAGCTCCATGATGAGGGCAGCAAATTAGGACCTTTGTCAAGAGGAGACAAAGCATTGCCTGGGAAGAAGAGAGCACATCTCAGAGGCCAGGACAAAACTTCACAGGCCAGGGCGACCCGAGACTTCCAGCCCCAAGCAGGCGACGGGGCCCCTCTCCAAATGTAACTGGATACAAGAACAACACTAAACATAACGTTCAGGTACGCTGAAATTAAAACAGCTTCTTGCTAGGCTTTTCTGTCAATGAAATTCTAAATATGTTCATTGAAGCTGGACTTTGGTTTCCTCCCTCCCTGCCTCTCTCTCTCTCTCTCTCTCTCCCTTCTTCCTTGCCTTCCTTCTTCACCCTTTCTTTTTTTCTTTGTTTGCAATTTCCCGGAGCAAGAGCATACACCATTTATGCAGAATGCTGGGAAAGGATTCCTGCCTCACTCAGAGGGCTCCTCTATAGGATCTTCCAGATCCCTTCCAGCTTGGAGGTTCTGTGAGTCTATGAAGTGCCTTGATGAAGGAGAACAAATCCAGGCTTTGAAGTCAGACATACCTGGTTCCAGCTCCAAGCTCTCATGTTTACTTGCTGTGCGACTTTGGGCAAGCTACTGAACCTCTCTGAGCCTAGGTTCATCATCTGAAAAACTGGGCCAATGCCGACCGCCAAATCACGGCTGTGAGGATGAAATGGAAAAATATTTATCAAACACACAGCAAGGATGGAAATGGAAGAATGGCTCAGAAAATCTCCTGCTGGGGAAGCTGGGATGAGGCCTGCCTGAACAGAGAAGACGGGCCGCGGGGCGTGGTCTGTGGGGAACGCAGAGCCTGAACTGCACGTTCCCTTGGCTGGTGCCCAGGGGATTCAGCGCTGTTGCTGAGAGGAGCTACTTGGGTCCACTCCTTTCCCAGGGCCTGGCCCTGCTTCTGTTCTCTCTCTGTCCTTTGTGGCCCCGGATTCTTGTGACCAACCCAGGTCTGCGCCTGGGCCCTCTGCCACCATTGTGCTATTCCTCCGAGGCCGCACACCCCGTCACACAGATTTCTCCTGGGCTTCGCTGCCCCTAACTGGACTGAATTTATCCCACCCCCCCTTTGGACTTTCTGACAGTTGTTCCTTCTTATTCACGGAGTTCATTCGTTCCACGAACATTTGGGGCGGGGGGGTCCACCAGGCACCAGGGCCTGTGCTAGGCTCCCAGACCCCCTGCCCTTGTTCATCTGCCCCAGGATCCTGCTGCTTGCACTCCTCGGGCTCTGGAATAACACCCACCCTCAGAATCCTTCCTCCCTTCCCTTCCCGGAGGCTGGCTACGCTGCAGGGTACCTTCACCTCCCGCCAGGAGCAAATCCTGACACTCTGCCGATATTTGTTGATTAAATGAACACATAGAAAAGGATTTTTTTTTTTTTTAATTACCACCCCTTCCAGATCCCCAGTCCCCTTTCAGACTGATGTAATCCAAATTACTGTGCACAGTGATGAGTTAAATGCTAGCAGCTTGGTGATTGTGCATAAGCGAGTTCTAGCTCTCAGGCGGCCGTTATCAGCACCTCTGTGAGTTTCTGATTTTCAAGTATCCCTGGGGCTTAAAAAGCTAATGGTGGCTCTCTTCCTATTACTGTAATAATACTTAGCACTTATGTCCTGCTACATAAAATCAGTTCAAGTGCACCCACCCCCCCCTGGCGAGCTGGGTCCCTTATTAGCACCCTGTTGTCAATGAGCAGCTGAGGGGTGATGGGGTTTGGCTAGGGCGCACTGGGCTTTGATCTGAAATTGTCCTCCCCACTCATGCCCCAGAGGTCTATACTGTCCCCCGAGAGTATAAACAGGCGGCACCTTTCCAGGACCCCAGCCCCCCACCGCCTCCTCAGAGGTCTGAGCAGGAGGGTGGCTCTCACTTCCAGAGGCAGAAACCCTGTCAGAGCTGTGACAGCACGATCCTCTGTACATGAAATTAGCCATGGAGATCGTGCCGATTAAGTTACAGTTACAATTGACTGTCAA